GGATGGGTGGATGGGTGGGTGGGCTAATGCATGGTTAGACATACTGATGGGGGCTGAGTGGATAGGTGGGTACTTGGGAAGATTGTGTGGGGGTACATGGGTGATGACTGGATGGATGGGCAGGTAGGGGCTGGATGGATGGGAGCAGAGGAGGGTGAATGGATGAATGGATGGAAATTGCACATAAAATCTTATTTAGGTGAGACACCTGACTGGAAGAAGACTTGTACATTTGTTGAGAGAATAGTTGATACAGCATTTTTAAGAATCCCTTATTTCAGATAAACTGGGGAAGGGAGAACACGTCTATTTTGGAAGAGAGTTGATGATAACAATTTTGACTCTATAATGAGGGCACTCTATCACAGAGATTCATTCCAGTCCATCTGTCAAGTATCTATCAAGTGCTAGGGACTCGGGACACAAAAATGAACACAGTCCTGGGGTGGGCATTCAGCTTAGTGGTTCAGACACCTGAACCTCACACCAGAGTGCCCAGGTGCGAGTCCCGCTCCAGATCCCGACTCTAGTTTTCCACTAAGGCAGACCCTGGGAGGCGGCAGAGGAATGACTCCAATAGTTGGGGCCCTGCTACCCACTGTGTTAGCGGCCAGCTCCTCCCTAAGCCCCAGCCACGGCAGGCGTTTGGTGACTGAATGAGCAGGTAGGAGCACTTGCTCTAGATATGTATGTTATCTATCTTTCCATCACCGTCCTTCATCACATCTACCAGATCTACCTGTTTATCTGTATCTCTGTCTCTCAAATAAATAAAATATACGGAAAACCGCAGTTCTCAGCCTCAAGGAGATGGAAGTCTGATGGGGCTGTCAGAATTCTGATGACAACAGCTGAGCTCCCACGATGGTCTCTCCACACAGATCATCTTCAAGTAGTGTTTCACTTACAGACCACACACTGGGATGTGCTCAGGAAAACCTGATTGTTGCCCAAAGGTTATTTTCATAAAGAGCACCGATCCCTTCCCTCCTTGGTGGGCGCTGTAAGCGAGGTCAGCAGGTTGTCTGCACACAGCTCCTCTCTGTCTCAGCCCTGACCTCTCTTTGAGCAAGAAGCCACAGGAGCAGTTGCAGATGCTGGGGGAAAGGCATACATGGCCTGGTCTCAGGCCCCAGCTCAAGATGGTGCTCCATACTGAAGCTGCTGTAGCCAAGGGCGTGAACTTGGAAACCCAAGAGACAAATGAAACACAGCCTCTGGGGTCCCCCTCAGGATCTGGGAGGGGGCCAGTCCAAATGAAGGTGCTCTGACTCACCCCCACCCGAGGAGGCCCAGGAGCGGCAGCCACCCAGCACGGTCATCCCCGCTCTGCTCTGTAAAGCTCCTAAGGCACTGAAGAGCCAGGCTCTGAGTCAGACGGCCCAGGGGCCCCTTTACCTCTTCCTGGCTGCATGGCCCTGGGCCAGCAACTTCCACACACCAGGCCCTTGGCTAGAGACTGAGGATCAGGCAGTGCCACGGGGAGGAGCAGGTTATCACCGGACGGGAATCAATCATGAGAGGCGGCGGCGCAGGGAGACCGGGAGGGGACATGAAGCCGCCCATCAGTAACGGCAGGGAGAGTGCACGGAGGTGTGAGTTTGGGGAGGGCCATGGGGCGGCTGAGGCAGTGCTGGGAGCTCACGTGGAGTTTCACCACACAGAGGCTGGCTCTGGTGGTGGGCACACCAAGAGAGCACCACTCCCAGCTCTGTCCTGGAGTCAGGGACCCAGTTAGAACACCAGTGTCACAGGTACGGGACCAGCCTCTGTGGTCTGGCTGCTCTGCCCCAGGGAGGCCCAGGTGAGGGTGAGGTCACCTGGGAGGGGCTCCAGCTGAGGCCTTAGAGGCCGGACACAGAGGAGCTGTGCTGGGGAGCCAAGGAGGATGACCACCTGGCCCTGTGGCCACTCCGGCTGTGGGACAGGCCCTGAGATGGGACATGTGGGCCCACGAAAGGTATCGACAGGAAACCAGTGCAGCGGCATGTGTCTAGCAGAGAGCAGAGAAGCCAGGGGGAGCCGAGGCAACACAGAGGACTGAGGCATTGGGGTTTCATCGCAGTGTAGCAGGAACCCTGCAGGGTCTACATGGGGTAGAGGGGCCCTGGCCAAGGCAATGTTGCTGCTTGGAGGAGGACCAAAGCAGATGTAGGGGCTGATGGGTAGGCTGTCCTGGCAACAGACGAGGGCAGGGACAGAGCAGGGGCCAATGCCTGGGCGGGGACCACAGAAGGAGGGGCTGTGGCTTCATGGAGGTGGGGGTAGGAGGGGCAGAGGGCCAAGGACAGCTGGCAACTCTAGGCTTGGGCTTGAGTAATACAGAAATCAAGGGTGCTGGAAACTGAGATGAGGGAAACCAGGAAGAGATGTGGTTTGAAGCATTAAGCTTGCAGTATCTGTGAGACACCCAGGTAGAGAGGTCAGGTCACTGGTTCCAGGCTGGAACCCAGACCTGGGAGTGTGGGGAAAGATGCCTCAGTACATGAGCCGAAAGCAGGTGCTGTCCGGGGAGAGAGTCTGGGAGGAGTGGACAGAAGTGGGCAGGCGCACACCGCAAAGAGGCAAGAAGAGGAGGAGGCACGGCCAGGAGGCTGGAGGGCAGGCCAGGAGGCACGGCCAGGAGGCTGGAGGGCAGGCCAGGAGGAGGCCAGGAGGCTGGAGGGCAGGCCAGGAGG